GTCTTTAAAGAAATCATTTAATGATAAAACATGTCATATACCATCAATAATTCTGATGATGAGAGATTCATGATAATTATAGGATCTGATAGTAGATTTGCTGTTTGGTTCAATATGGCAGACACTGTTCTAATGTTGTCAGTATTCTGATCAGCAGCATCAGTAGTGCTCATCACTAGATCAGTTAAGTTCTCAAATATTGATACTACATTTTCAGCAGTAACATTTACCTATTGAATATACAATTCAAGAAATTATAGTACGATCACATATCAAGTCTTTATTGTTATTTACTTTTGAAATGTTTCTAAATCGATTAGATATCACAGATGTTGCACAGAATGTTACATTAGGTGATTCCCAAGTACTATTATTAGTGCATTTTCTATTAGCAGTAGCACCACTAGGACCATTAGGACATGATATATTAACTGTACTGTCTGACATTGTCTCTGGCCATTCAAATGCACCACGATCACTACTAACTGTAGTTTCCATTCTACAAGCAACAAGATCTAAAAAAATTGCATATATAACAGCAATACAACTATGACTTCCTTCAAACTTGAGCAAGCATACTAATACATAAACTACATACACATGTGTCATTATCTGCACTGACAGTGCAAAGTAAACAAACCCACACAAGAGTCCAACATGCTATAACAAATTTTTTATTATTAATAAGGCTTTACAGGGCATATAGAGAGAAACAATAAGAGCAAAATAAAAGAAGAGAAACCACCCTGATGGAATGCCAAGAACAACTAAGTCTGGCACCCAGTGAACACAAAAACAGACAAAAACAAAAACAATCATCACAAAACAATTACAGACAAAAGAAATAGTAATTATGAGAGAGAGTAAGAAAATAGACGAGAGAGAGGGAGAATTAGAGTAGGAGAGGGAGGGAGAATTAGGCTAGGTTTACACAGCAACGCAAAACGCATCATTTTAAAAGTATACACTTTGAACACCGTTTTCGTTTCCATAGAATTAATGCAGCAAGACCATGTGAGAAGGAAGCTTCAGATTTTTTTCTCTTCTTCTAAGCACTACATGGCACAAATGTTGTTGCCTAGATGTATTGAGTGACTTAAGAGAGTTTAGGATCCTTAGACTAGCAAACTATGGCTACAGCACTTCACTCGGGATGAAATTTTGAGTAGCTAGATCTATAACTCACCAACAAGAAATATTTAAGAGTCCCACACATATTAAATGAATAAATAGTCTTGATCTACTGGGGGAGAATTTCATTTACCTCCAGAGTACTACCGCTATTGCTGGGAATTTTCTTGTGAGTTCAAAAGCTTGCACTATCTAGAGCTTCATGCTCTCTAAACATCTCGAGGCAGTAAAGCAAGACTTTTCCTTACAGAAGAGAAGCTCTCATAAATTTAGAGTGCACAATTGTAAAGATATACATTCTTAAAGACAAAAAAGAGCACACCAAATGAATGAAACACAGACAGACAAACCGAGTGCCTAGTCCTCGCCTATGCAAAGCTGGGCGAGGCCAATGATATCAGTGGCTGGAGAGAAAGCTATGTAATGGAGGATGAGAAAAAGAAAGAGACAGAGATTATTAACAAAGAGAAAGAAAAGAATGCATAGTATACATATCAATACACAAAAAACAAACTTACAATACGTAAAGTTTCAAAACATAAACAGATACATAGATTTATAAAAAATATATAGTATATAATATAGAATAACAAAAGTTTACCAGTATGTACAATGTACACATACATGTATTATACATGTAAGTGCATGATTACAACTTACGATCAATTCTAGTCCTGGTAGTCAATAGGTTACTTAAAGAACTGGATCCAATAGTATTAGTAGCATATACTTGTACTATGTAATGTGTTCCTTTAGATAAACTACCTATCATTACTGTAGTAGTAGGAGCATTGACTGTCAATGTAACTGATGATGAATCCTGTCCTTGCTGATAATATACCACACTGTATGTAATCACTGGCCTTTCTGTCATTGGATCAGTATTATCCTAAAGGAGAAAGCGGAGGGAGAGAGAGGAATTTGTGTACTTGAGTCAAAGTAAACATACTGTCCAGGTAGCTTGAAGTGCAGTTGAGTTAACTGGTGTAACAC